GGACAAGGCCTGGGTTGCTGGCCTTGGACCAGGTTTCCAATCACACACCCTTCCCGGGTTCTGGAAGAAAAGGTGATGGGTAGAAGTTTTACAGGGGTCTAAAGAAGACAGAGAGCAAGCTTCCCTGAGAGTGTAGATCTGGGCTCCCAGTGTTGGTACAACCTTGGGGGACCCAAGAATCCTGAGGCTCCGGAGCCTGAGGCCCAGTGGTGGAGTATCTCCAGGGTGATACTTGCTTGGGTGGGAGAACTGTGGGAGAGCTGAGGGAGCTGTCTTGAAATATTATGGGTAAGCACAATTTTATTCAGAGGTGATGCTGAAGGAACTGAGGACGTTCTAAGGTACACCCACTGATCTGGGCTGCCTCCAAGAAGGCCACAGTGTTCCAGCCAAATCTCTTCCTTCAAGAAGAACCCATTTCAGAGAAATCCAGAACTATTTGTAGCCCCTGCATCGCTTTCTCTGCACTTTCCCTGTTTTATTTTCCCAGAGATGGAGGGGAGGGAGTCCACCTTGGCCTTGGTCCTGCTTCCCCTTGTGTGGGTATTTTAGAGCAGAGTCTATTCCCAGTACATCATTGTATCTGACCCTCCCAGGCTCCCCCTCCCCCACCCATGACAAGTGATCTGGAGAACAAGAGGTCTGTGGCTAGGACCTAAGAATAGCCATTTCAATATGGATATGTATCTATTCTAACTGCGATATCTTTTGTAGGCGTCAAGCTACTTAAGGCAATTTCCATAAGATCTGTACTAGAAGAAAAGGTTTGGTGGGGAATAGGTGAGAAAGCTGTTAACTATTGTCTGGCCCTGAAAAGGTCGTAAGTCAGCGCCTTGGTAGCTGACCTGTCAGGGGAAGGTATAAAGGCTTTATTCATGCAGTTGCTGCAATGAGCTCAGCTCTCACAAAAGTGTTTTTATGATTCGATTTTCTTACCTCTTTTCTTAATTAAAAAGCTGAACCATTAGAATAGCACCTGCATCGTGTCCTGACGGCGCCTGCATACTAATTTCCGAGCCTTTACAAGCAGTAATTATAACATAAAATCAGAGATTGAATAAAACAGAAGGATTTTGCTCCCAAAGCCCCACTAATCCCCTTTTAAAAGGGTCTGGTGAAATAATTCAGAACAGTATCCGGAAGTTGGATTACCGCTCCTTTTTTTTTAAACTTTTTACAATGAAATGATATTTCACACTTAAAGGAACCTCTGTTTTTCCACAACAGTTTTTTTTTTTTTTGTAAGAAAGCTGGCAGGTTTTTTGAAAGATAGAAAGCATTTGACTGTGGATTCTTTGCTGAGTAAAGGCAGTGGAAGAAAGTGGAGGAGAAATTTCTATGACAGATTTGAAACACGTTTTCTCAGGTGAAAGTGGCTGCAGTGTGATTAAGAACTGCATATGTGCATCAGGCAACTTTTCTAATTTCTCTTGGAGGAAATAAATAAGCACATCTTTGGGGGTCAGATGCCTATTTTTCATGACTTAGAAATAAGCACATTTCAAGCAAAACACTTTTCACTAAGATGCTGAGTGTATTTTTTAAAATACTTAATGAATACATTAATAAGCTCAAAATCTAGATGCCTCCATTACCCAGAGCAAGACCTCTCAGTAGCACAAGCCGAGGACCTTGAGCTGTCTGCAGTTTCTCCCCTGTTCTGGCAAAGGATATTCTCTTCATCTGGCTAATCTGGTCTTGTGTGGGTCAGACCACAGACAAGAGAAAACTGGATCATCCTTCAGATGTTCTGTATATATCACCTGACCATAGTGTTGGTGGTTTCCGCCCCCACCCCCTTCTTTTCACCATTATTCTACAACCACGTGATACAGCCAAAACCATAGAAATTTACCCAATTTTGGTTTCTTTTCTCTGCAGACATTTCCCAAGGTTGCCCATTTGTTATGAGGTTCAGAATGAGACACAGACCTGCTTGACTTGTTTTGAATTGATCAATATACTTGCCCAGCATGTTGGCTCATACGGAGTCTATACTAAATCTAAAGAAGCCAAAAATGCAAGTTTCAAGTTCATCCCCCTGGTCATATTTACATTTTACCAACTTGCATCTGAAGTAATTTTTTTTCTTTATCATTTTTTTCCCTACATAGCTGGTTTGGATGTTTAGAAGCCAATGAAAGATACAGAGACAAATGCCAAGACCACTCCTAATTGTCTACTGAGTTCCTTTTTTTTTTTTTAATGATTTTGGGGTCTGAACTTGACAGTGTTCCTAGAAAACTTTCAGGCATTTCTTCATGGAAGAAAATATTTGGCTAAAAAGGCAATGCTGCTCTGATGCCCAGAAAGGAAGTTGGTGACAAGTGGATCATGCAATTGTGGGATTCTCAAGCACTTGGTGACCAAGATATTGTTAATTTTCCCAGAATGAGGATTCAGTATGAAAAAGCTATGATTATAAGAAAAGATTCTGATGCTTTCGTAAAAGAATGCGCTTTTGTGTGACTTTTGCCCCAAACCACTCTGTCCTTGGTTGCCCACCCTGGCCTCTCATTAGCATGTTCCTGCCTTTCACACCAGGGTCTTGAAAAGCCCCACACCAGACTTAGAGTAACCACAGAGACTTATGGTAAAAATAAATCAACTTCTGGGCTGGCCAAGCCATCAAGTTTGCTGTCGTGCCAGTATCATGCCAGTGTCTTAATGTCATGGGGGTGACATTAAAATGATTGGGTTTCCCCTGCTTCATTCCACACCAAAATAAATTCAATTCCCTCTAATTTTTCTTGGGACTTTTGAAAATAAATGTTTCTGCCTCAGTGCTGGGCTGCACCGGCATCTGGAACTCTCCAGTGGTTTCAGGGCCCTCAACTAGCCTGGGAGGGGGCCTGGAGAGGCACACCCTGATTGGAGCCTGCGGCCCTGTTGGTGCCACACTTTCTAGAAAGATCTGGAGATCTGATTCAGGGAGGAGCTAGGGGACAAGGCTGAAAGATGGAGACTTGTAAGTAATAATAATAATAGCAACACTAACAACAAGCACCTACGATGTGAATTCTGAATGTTTCAAGGATTATCTTATTTACCGCTCAAGACAAACTTGTGAAGACGCTTCTATGACATTCTCTTTTAGCAGATGAGGAAACTGAAGCACAGGGAGGTTTCATCCCTTATCCAGGGGCACAGGGTCACAGGAGGACAAGCCTAGCCAAACTTTCCACTGCGCAGCACTTTCTACCTGGTGCTCTTAAAGTAACGAAGGGGACCTTGGAAATCCTTGGCAGGCTAAAATGCACCCCCCGCAACATAACTGCCCTCAGCGCTGCCACTGCGGGCTGGGAGGTGAGTAACTTCCCCAAGGACATGTGACGTTTCCCTGTAGGATGAGCTAGTCATGGGCACTTGGGCACCAGTGACTTCACCCTCCTGCCAAAGGTCATATCATTCAACTTTCTGCCAAAACCAACTTTTCCAAGGAGGGCTAAGCACTCTTCGGGACAGAGGCGTGTGCAGGTGACCCAGCGCACTTCCCAGGTCCTCTCTTCCTACTCTCTCAGTCGCAACTCGGACATGTGAGGTTGAAAGGCAGGCCTTTCCTCCGACACCTGCGTCCCTCCTCACACTCCCTTCTGGGCCCCTGGGAATGGTTGTCCTGAGGCGCTGCGCAGTCCCAGGTGGGATGAGGAGGCACAGCTGGAGGGGCCGACGTCTTCTCGAGCGGATGCAGGGCTCAGGCAGCAGGACCAGGAGACCCTGGCCAGGGGTACTCGGGGTCCTTCTCATCTTCGGTTGCTCCCACCACAACGATTCCATAGGTGAAAGGGCTTTATTGAGTGGCCTGTCCCACAGGCGTCGTGGTGGGGAGACCCAAGCAGCAGGAGAGGCCCCTCTACCTCGTCCCTGGAGCCGCAGTGGGTTGAGGGGCGCCTTCCGCAAGAGGGACGGGAGGGGGCGCTCATCCCAGAACTACCGGCGGGGGACCCCCTCCACCTCGCACAGCCCACGACTCTGACTTATCTTGGCAGTTCCAGTGGCTGTCCCCTCGGGGCCGCTCTTTTCACACCCACAAGTCGCCCTGGAGTCTTGCGTGCCTTCTCCGCACTTCTGCTGCCCTTGCCCTACGAGCTGATTCTCCTAGGTGCTCTCGAAGGGAATCTAGTATTCAGGCCCCAAGAGCCGTCGTCCTCCCACTCATTGCATCCCAAAGCCTCAACCAGGCCCGCAGCACCCACCCTCGCCCTGATCGGGAAGGGACAAGGTGGACATGGAGCCTGTGCAGTAGGAGCAGAGGAGGAGGGCGTACGGGTGCACAGAGGCTCGGTGACCGCGGACCAGGTAGGAGGAAGTCTCTGGTGGTTCAGGTGGTTCTGATATACCTGGAAAAATTTCTCCAGTGGAAGGGACAGATAAGACAGCTTATGCATCAGATGCTAAAACCCACTGAAAATCCCCACTGGGATTCAGAAAAGAGTCCTGTGGGCTGTGGCCACACAGCCTTAGGGCTTGGTTCTTCACAGCTCTTTGAAGGGAGTCCTGAGGTCTGAGCTGCCGCCACTCCCAGAGGGAGTGGGATCCAGCTAGTAAGAATCCTGAGGGCAACTGTGCCCGAGGTACCCCATAAGGACTTACGGAGGGTTTGGAGCCAGCCTGCCCCCTCCCTGCCACTTTTCTTTGTTTTATTCCCACTAGCTACTAGGCTTTTCTTTGGGAAGTCAAAGGTGGTTTGTGTTTGGTGCCACAGCCGCAGAAGGCAGTCTTTCCTCGGAGACACTGAGAGCATCGTTTACCTTTTCCCTTCCGTAATGGAAACCTGTCCATGAGTGCCAGTGTCAATGCGGTGAAACTGGGAGCAAGGGAAGTCTCCTCTACGAAGACTGCTTTGGTGGGTCTTCCCTTCTGCTGCCCTGAACAACTAGGCTGCAGAGCTGTTTTTGCGAAGCCATGAGGGAAGGCAGGGAAGAGTGTGGGATGCTGTGGGACGGCCCCAAGTCTCTCTCAGGATGAGAAAGCAGTAACTGGACACTCGAATTCAAAAGAGGGAGGGGAACATCACATCATTTATTTCCAAACAAAATAGCAAAATGGAGCTTCATGTGCACAAAAGTCTTCAGAGGGAAAAAGAATCACAGATTTTAATTCATTTTTACATATTTACAGCAAGATTAAACCACAGCTTTCGACTATGTTTTCATTCAACAATCACCTTTAGCCAAATACATAACAACTTTTTTTCCTTTCAAGTTAGTTCATAATTTAAGGATGCTAAGGGGACAGATGATACATCACAAACCGTGTGGGTAGAGAGGGTACCAAATACTCTAAGGTTTCAGTCAGGCTTTCTTGCATGTGTGAGTTATAATGACAAAAATTTGCCTGTCTGTATAATTCACATTCATTGCAATCATTACATTTTCCCATAAATTAGCGATATAAACAAACATATGGGGACCTCCAGTAAACAAATAAAAATCAATATAAGAGACAACATTTTGTAGCAACTATAGTAACAGCATGGGTTACAGCTTGAGGAAACTTCTTTACAAATCATTTAGTCAGCACAAACGGGATGGGGAGGCTGCTACATCCTTGTTTATTTAAACCACCTTCAAAACCACATCAGAAGGTTTGGGGAAAGCTGGACAGGGTGAAAGTTTCTTTCCTGGACACAATATGAAATGAAGAACTGCACATGTGGATGGGAGGGGGGCGTTTGCATGCACTTTGGGGTCGTGGATCTTCTGAACTCCAATTGCCAAGATTCTGAAGAAAACAGGAAATTATAAAAACATCTCTCTCCCTCAAGCCACTCTCCTTTCTACTAACGGCAGAAAGGGCTTGCTGATTGCTACTAGCTAGAAGAAAACACTACAATGGGTCTATTTTTAGCAGAGATTGTCTTTGAAGGATCAGGAAATATTAACAATTGCTTGGCTTCAGCCTTCGATTCCAAGGATCTGGAGTAAGAATACTGGAAGCTTGAGGGATTTCCCCAAGGAGGTTCATCCAGGTGACACGACTTGGACTGACTGAGTGCAGACCAGTGCAGAGAGAAGCAGACACACATTGTGGGCTTAGGGTACATCCCCTCTGCCTGCACTGTCTCTGAATTCTTTCTCCCATGTCCCATGTCCTGTGCAAAGGGCCCCTCAACGTCTGCACACCTCCACAGGCCCTGGGCCTGATGTCTCTGCGTTGCTTTTGTTTTTCTCATTGCAGGACTTAGCCCTAAGTTACTGGTTAGTGTAGTGTGCATGTATTTTTTTTAAAAGAAGTTTGATTTTATCTCTTTAGAAACGGTTTGAAACTAACGGGGCAGAGGGAGTTTGACAGAGAGGAGAACAAATCGCTGACAAAGAACCTTTTACGTTTCATCAGCGTTGTTAGGACGACAAGCAGGAATGTCTCAGATAATAACTCCCACTTCAAAGATTTCTCAGCTCAATAGAAAGCAGACCATCCTTTTTATTCAACCACAAGGACTGGCACTAAAGAAGACTCCACTGTTTGATTTTTTTTCTACCATGTTTATTTTTCCCCTATTCACTGGGGTACTTGGATAAAATAAACAACAAGACAATTAAGGGAACATGGACTTCTAACTTTCCTGCCATTTTCCCTATCCCCTTGGCCTTGGGCTCTTCAGCCTGTGCCCAAGGCCAGACCAGGCTGGAGGGGTACCATACACCCTACCCTGGGGAGAATCAAGTTGGGGGAGGGGTTGTAAGAAACTTCTGGGATAGAGGGGCAGAATGGGCTGTGCTGGGGGCCAGAGTGCAAGTGTCCCAAAGGCACTGAACTCTTCAGACTTATCCAGGGCGGCTCCTCTCCTTCCTCCAAGTCCCATTCAAATTCAGGCCTCCACCCTGCTCGAGATGCAGAGAGGCTCCGGGCACAAACGGAGCTGGGGATGCTCATTTGTTAAGCCTCTGAGCTTGCCCTAAAGGTATTTACTTCTGACCCTGGAGCCTCTTTGGGGCGCAGTCAAGATGCACGGAGTCCGGCTCCTCCCTTTCCCGAAAGCGTCCCTGGCGCCAAAGCGCCCCCCCATCAGAGTGCAAGGTGAACCCCTAAACGCTGGCGAGGAAGGTCCTCAGGAGGAAGTACATACTGGAGAGCGCAGTGACAGTATTAAATGGCGTGAAAGCAAAGGTCAGCGCAAATGTATCTTAATAGAGTGTCTGCAGTGAAGTGTGCCGCCTTTGAAGCGGCCGCTCCCCGCGCGCATTTCCATGGCGAGCCTAACGCGGCATGCTGATGCACCGTCAAACTCACACTTTCAACCCCAAAACCCGACTCTTTGAACAACCCGAGCTTGATTAGACCTTTCTCCTTTTCTTTCCCCTCTTACAAACCATTTCCTCGCCTTTAGAAACTCGCCATCAAACCCAAATGCGCCCTCTGATCACCGCAGAAAGCAGAAACAAAAGGGGCTGAGCGGCGATTCAAGCGGCCCTTTTCTTCCCTCACATTATTATCCATTTTTATTATGATCGGGAACAAGTGCCCATTCGCGTGGGTTTTGTTTACCGGAAATTAAATGAAAATGATTTAGTCCGCGTCAAACAAAAATATATACTTGTATACACAAGAAAAAAGGCCTGTTAGACGTAAATATTATGTCCTTAATGAAAAGCCTGGACGGGCTCCAGGCTCGGCCTTTCAGGATTTCAGTGCGACTTGCCCATTGCCATAGAAATCCTAACTTACCATGAAGATGCACCGTGGCGAAGAAACATTGCTTTGTGCGCGGGCCCTTTGATGTCGCAGGCGCGAGATGCGGGCGCTCAGCTGCGCCGGGCGAGATTACCTTGCGAGCAACGCGGTGGACATCTGTAACAAGCAAATGAAAAATTAAAGGCGATTAGTGACCGTCGACGCATTTTTATTTTATTTCATTATTTTGGGTGGGAGTGGAAGGCAAAACGGGGCCTAGAAATAGAAGAGAAAGAAATGAGCCCTCTTTGGGGCGGGGGTACATTTTTTAACATCTTCAGAAGAAGCAAGTTCCCCAGATGCCCTCTGCACCTTGGTGGCGGGGCGGGTGTTTACCGATGGGAACGAGTCGTTTGCTGCCGACCGCAGGCCCTTGGCTAGGCGGCCTCTGGGCCCTATTGTGGGGGCAGGGCGGGAAGGGCAATGCAGATCCCCTTCCACAGGACGGATTCACTAGGGATGTGTTTGGAAGATTTTGGATTTTATCAGATATACGAAAAACAGTCCCTCTCCAGTCAGGACGTTATTTATCTGATGGAATCGGGGCAGGAGTGACAGTCCTCTAACAGTGACTGAAGAGGAAAGAGTAGAAGGAAACCCAGCAGAGTGACAGAACCTGGGCTTGTTTGCTGGCTTCAGCTTTTTAAGTTGAGCTCTTCAGGGGCTCCTCCTGGGTAGGAGCACTACACCCTTCCTTATCTCCAAATTCTTAGGGGATTGGGATGGGTCTACCAAAACTTTTTACCCCTGTCATTGTCTTCTCCCACCCTCCCCCCAAATCTTAGCAAGAATTTTGGGGCAGCACCATCATCCCCTGCAGAGGGTGGCAGACTGGGAACCAGGCCCTGATCTTTTTCCCCATTGGCAACAACTGCAAAGACTTTCCTCTCCCCTGCCACCAACATCTGTTTTTTTTCAGGGGATTTGGTGCCCAGCATACCAAATACACATTCAGTCTAGACCCATTGGGTGTTTGCCTTTAAAATATTTATTATTGCAATTCATTGCTTGTTTCCCCCTCCCTGACCTTTTTAAATAAGACCAACATTGTGCGATTTTTGACAATTGAATTGACACGATTCATCCAGACACTGTCACCTAGGCCAGATCCTTTTGCTGTGGAGTCCTGGGCTCAGTGACGTCATTGGCACACTCTGCACCCCCAACTCCAAGCACCCACAAGATTCCACAGGCAGCACCTCAAGCAGCGTGGGGTGTGAGGAGAGGGTGGCTGGTCTGGGGAGGTCTCAGAGCATTGAATCCTAAAGCCCCTTCAGTGCTCTTTTGTCTGATTTCTTGTTGTTTGGACTCATCACCTCCCCCAAGTATATAAAGCATACCGAGCAGACAGACAGGCAGGCAGACGGATCTGTGTGCTTAGGCCAGTATATGGGGGAGGGGCATGTACTCCCTAGGGAAGGTGCTGACCCCACCCCACCTCCCCCAATCTCCTTTACCGAAGTAGTTGGGAAATTTTGGATCTGGGATTTGAATAGCTGGGGGAGGGAGGAGAGGAGGGAGGCAAAAGGGAAAGGCAGCAGGAGGGAAGACAACGGCTCAGGAATTCCCTCTGCCACTATCCCGCCTTAGGAACTTCCGAGGAGACTCGGACTGGGACCTGGGAAGGGAGATGGGGTGGCAATCCAAGCGGCCCAGGCCTGGAAAAAATTTTTTCCCATTCTGTGAATCACTCAAGGATTTTGTGGTCTTACTTTTGCCGCCTGCAGTTGCCAAGATTGCGCATTAACTCTCCTAATGTTTTCTTTTTAACTTCTGCCTGTGTCTCTCTGTTTTCTTTACCCCAGCACTGCTTTCATGCCACCCAGTCACGAGGGCATCTGTGTGGATGGGTGGGGGTGCTGGGTGTGATGGGAGAATCCACATGGGTACCATATTTGTATTTGAAGATAATGGACATTATACCGGCATAGTCAATGAACTTAGTGGTGACCTTCCTCCTTCCTCCCTCCCTCCCTTCCTTCTCTTCTTCCCTCCTCACTCTCTCATCAAGCCTCAATAACCGGGCCTAGACCTAGCAGTCAGTGTACGCGGAAGCAGTAAGCCCAGCAGCAGCGCTAATACCGGAGGCGGCGGCGGCGGCGGCAGCGGCGGGGCCAGGTGG